TTATTTTCTTCACACTGCACGCACACACATACATATAGCTTATATAACATTAATTCTTTAACTACTAACAACTAACTACTATCTAACAACTAATTATTTCCTAACTTAATTATATATTAAATATATTAAATATTTTAAGAAACTTCTAGTTGGTGTTGATTAAATATTAACACTCCCCCTCAACACCAACATTGTCTCGTCGTAGTCTTCGGCCACCTTACATCAAGAAACGGATCTTCACATAATTTAGAGTATGTGAATAATTTCCTTGTGTGCTTTAGGCTTGATACTCGTGCTCTTACTGATCTATGGGCTTGTGAGTTCTTAACACTTGGCTGATCTTCTACTCTTTTCCAATGCTTGTTGACTTGCCTGTGACTTGTTAGCTCGTCTTCAAATCTATCTTCTTTAGCCGATTCTTTCTCACCAGTGTCAGAGATTGGCAGCATCAAGTTGTCAACTGTCGTCGTACGCTCTTCAGTATACTCGACCGGATTTGATAATTCCTTCATGTCTTTTGTTTCGTCACTTGAGCTTCCCAAGTTATCTATCCACTCATCATCTGAGTCGACAAGCTCAACGACTGTTGCCGTTAAAGCCATATCGACTTCTTCACCAACTTCTTCTTCTTCAATTACGGTTGACAGTGCTTCAAGATCCCATTCATCTTCACTTTTGTGAACCTCATTCGACGTGACTGCATTTCCTTCCGCTGACTTCGTCTTCGACCAACAATTCCTCGCTACGTGGCCTTTCTTTCCACAGTTATAACATTTCCCTTCGAATCTTCTACTTTCTTGAGGTTGACCGCTCAAATTCTCTTTTCTTTGTGCTCCCTCTAAATAAGCACTCCTCTCGTCTTCATCTCTTTCGTTGTCGTTTCTTTTCCTCCCGTGAAAATTTTTATTTTGTCGATCTCTGATATTCTTTACGAAAAGTAATTCTTCATCATTCTTGGATGAGGCTTGAATCATTTGCTTAGCTAACGCTTCTTGGTCAGCTAGCAAATTCTCCAACTCTACGAGAGAAGGTTGGGTCGACCAACCTTGTACAGCAACAATAAAACTTCTATATTCTTGCCTCAATCCATGAATAATTATTCTCCTTATCCGAGAATCTGACATACCAGCAGAAGAATCTAAAGTAGAAATTTCACGACAAAGAGACTTTACCTTAGCAAAATACTGGTTTATCGTCATGTCTCGTTGCGTGATAGATAGAAGCTCGTTCTCCAGAAGTTGCAACCTCGCATCGTTCCTCTTCGAGAACAACCCCGCGAATGTGTCCCATGCGTCCTTCGGTGTCTTTGCATCTCTAATATGCTCCAGCATCTCCTCCTCGATCGTGGTTTTGATAGCGAAC